AACAAAGCTGGCTCCATACAAGCAATTCAATTCAATGACAAAGTTCATTAGCCCACACAAGGCACCATGCAGCCGCAGCTATACCTCTGGCATAACCTTCACAAGCCAGTTTAGGATACGCTGCTTACTAGCTCAGATTCAACACTGGCCTCGAAGTGGTGGAGCCAGCTCTCTGTTGATTCGCTTTGGTGCCTTTGAATTTTTTTCTGGAGCTGGTAGCTCCAGAACTCAGCAGATGAAGCACAGATCTGCTAGACAGTCACTATATTATTTCTGATATGCAGAAAATTAACTCAGGTAGGAAGGAATCAAATTACTGGGGACAGGGGGGTCCATTACCCAAGATGTCTGACCTACTCATTGCTATGGATAATGGCAAGCCAGCACAGCAAATTCCACTATATCCATCAAAATGAAACACCAACTTGAAGGAATTTCCAGACGAGAATTTCACAGGACAATATTATAATGCTACTTAAATGAATTTCATCCTCTCTACTACAAATGCGTGCAGATAAAAACAAACCATAGGATACAACGTGTTTCTGCCTACAGACACTAGTCCATTGGCTGAAATCACATCACTATATGCTCATCTCTAAAAACAGCAGCAGAGTGGCAGGGGCCGCTGCTATTCTTAAGGCGGTGTGCGTGTGTTAGGAGTGTGAGAAGGATCCCAGCATGTGTGGACAGGAAAGGGTGGAGGATGTAAGTGGCAATTTCCTAGATTTGTAGTGATTGAGTTGACAGGATCTGCAGTTAAGCAACCTTGACTCCAAGTTAATAGGGTTTCTGATTGGGACGTAATTTCCAAGGGTTTTTAGGAGTTTGTATCAGTGCTGATAGTCATTTACATGAACAGTGATAATGTATTATCCTTCTCATGTCTTCCCACTAAGCCTTTATGTCTCCTCTACCTTAACCTGTCCTCCTTGATGGTTCCCTGCACAGCTGCATTCAACACTTTTTTAAGAAAAGGCTGATCTACAAATGTTTCCCCTGCCAGAACTGGTGAACACTTAGCTATTAAAATATTAGACAAAATTTAAGCAGCCCCTGACAAGTGAAACTGGGAAATTAAGTTCAGACACTACAAAACACACTGCAGAAGGAGTCCTGGGTTTTTCTAGCTCAGCTATCAATGCAGAATTTGCTACAGAGCTGCCAGGGGTTGCCCAGCATCACTGCAATATCCGTGGTGCAAGTGGTTACAACAAAGAAAGGTACACGAGGAGAAGACAGGGCACACGATAGGGAAGGGCACACTGGACCCACCTCGCTGGCTGAGACAGGCGACCGGTCAATGCCCCTGTTGACAGACTCCCAGGACCTGGCGGTCAGCATGCAGGCAAAGAGAGGGTACAAATCCCCTGCCCCGAGCCGCTGGCTGTACTTCTGCACCCTCTTCATATCGGCCTTGATGAGGGCCTGCCAAAGGCAGCAGTAGTCCATGCGGAATGAATCGCTCAGCACCTGGGGAGGGAGACATGGCCTCCAGAAGTCCACGGAGGACAGGGAACTGGCAGGGGGGAAAGCCTCGTGCCCCCTCCCTGTGCCCTATCCCCCATTTCAGAGCCAGGAAATATCCTTGGAGGGTTATGAGAGAACTAGGAAAAATGTATTCATATGGGTTTAGGGGGGGCAAGGCTGCATCTGGGTGTGCTCTTTCAGCCTGACACCCGCAGGCAGCCTCACAAGGCCCTGGAAGCCCCCCATAGCTATGTACCTGGTAAAGCCCGTGGTCCAGGAGGATAATGTGGGCCTTGCCAGAGGCTGGGCATTTCTTCACTAGCACATTGCCTGGGTGCGGGTCACAGTGCACAAAGCCGTTCACAAAGATCATTTCGCTGTAGAGCTTCCCCAGGTTGCGAGAGATCTGTAAGGAGACAAGAGATAGTCACATATTGCCACCCACAGCAAGGTGCCTTCCGGGAAGGGGAGGCAGCTCCTGCGTGTCAGCACTGTGGGGAGGAGGGTCTGGTACGTGCCAATGTCCCCACGCAGAGCTCTTGCAGCTCCTCACACTGACAAATGCACAGGGTGGCTGCTGGCATCTACCGCAGGGTGATCCAGAGCATTCAGGGAAGGATGCATGCAGGGGGCACCATGAAGGTGTTTGTGGGGTCGGGGGTTATTTAATGACACTTGCCTGGCATAAAAAAAGAAAAAATACCTGTGGGTAGGAAAGGGGATTTCTGGTTATGAGGAGGAAAGTGAGACAGCAGATAGGGGCAGACAGGCATTCACAGGGAAGGAATGGAAAGAGCTGCTGGAGTGGGTGAGAGACGGCTTGGTTTCCATCCATGGATGGCAGCAGGACCCAGTGGAGAAGGGGTGGGAGGAGACTCAGCCTGTCCATCTGCTTACCAGAATGAACATGGGTTTCCTCTCCCCTCCCTCCATCACACTGTCCCCCACTTTCCCCCTTCCTTTCCTCAGACCCATGCTAAATCTGATTTGTGATGTCTGTGAAGATGAAGCAGCACAGAAAGGCTGTTTAAATCATCTTGTCACTGCTGTGTCCCTCCATGTCGCTGCTCCTTATCACCAAGAGATGTTATTAAAAACCTCCTAGGAGCAAGCAAACATCCCCAGGGCCCGGGATCAATCCCTCACCATGCCCTAACACAGCAACCTCGCCCTGACATCCCACTGCCGGCCATCCCTGCCATCAGAGAGCAGCACGGTGCTCCACAGCGGAGTGCTGAACAAGCAATTAAAAGACAATCATTATAAATGATTCCAAGCATGTCCCCAGACACACAGGGTAAGCAGCAAACAGGCAGCTGTCCCCACAAGCAAAGGTGGTAGAAGAGGTAACAGGGATACTAATGACAGCTCGTCCTGCAGAAAACCAGACAGCCAGGGAAGGGCTTGCTTTACCCACCTCTGCAATGTGGCCACCTCTGAGAAGAGCATTCGTTATGAATAGTGCCTGAGTAACTACAAATGAGGAGAAAGAATGGGAACTCTTCCTGCAGCACACCAACAGGGACAGCTGTAGGACCAGGTGGGACAAATCTCTGTCCCTCAAGTGGGACCTGGAGCCACTGCTGAATGATGGAGAATGTTGCCCCCGTGCCGAATCACCCACACAGGTGGCGCAGCACAGCCCTGTGGTTTCTGTAGTGCAGCTCCCCTAATGCCACACAGGTTTTATTGTAAGGACTGACTGAGGGGAATGATGTTTCCCTTCTGAATCACCAGCACAGATCACTGGAGAAATGAAGTGACCCTTACAGGTCTCCTAGATCTACAAGCTCTAAAAGTGGATGGGACTAAAGTACCAGGTGCTGTGACCTCCTAGAAGAGCTGAGTAGCACGTGCTGACAGTCCAAGGACGTGCCAGATAGTCCGTGTTAAGCCAGTCACTCATTCACACAGCCTCCCAAGGACCTGCACGCCAGGAGGAATGGACTTGGACATCATGACTGATCACAGCATCAACCACGACACCTGTGCACACACTGAGCAAACTCCATTTTGCCCTCTCTGCCTCAGCTGTTTGCCCTCCAGGGACCTGGAAGAGCACAGAATTATTGAAGAGGAGGACTTGTGGACAATCTCGGGCACAATGTGATGCCTCATACCCATGAAACACACATCTGGACATATGCTAGCAGTGCTCCAAACCTATTGGTTGGTCATGGCTGAAGCCTGGAAAGCTATTAATTTGGGGCACTGGAGTATGAGCTGCTTCAAAGAGAGCAGATTCTCCTTCTGTGCTGCGGCAATGGCACAGGTTGGGAATGTCAAGCAGTGGAACAAGTTGCCTGGTGAGGTTGTGCAATCTCTATCCTTGGAGGTTTTAAAGACATGACTGGATAACACCCTGACTAAGCCTCATAGCTAACCCTGCCTTAGCAGGAGGTTCAACAGGAGACCTCCAGAGGTCCCTTCCAATCTCAAATATCTTAGGATCCGACAAAAACACCTCTCACCACATTATCCATGCCACCCTCAGAACAGCATCTAACGGCATAGCTGTAGGCTCCAGGTGGAGGGAAGGTCTCCCCTTCTGAGTCACCATCAGCAGACAAGTTACTAAACAGATCTGTGGCCATAGCCTTTTGCAGCCCACGATGCAACACAAAAGCAGCTCAGGATTCATCTTTCCATCTTACCATGAAAACAGAGGGGTCACAGCCCCGTTCAGACCCACAGGCTGGGTCACGGGTACAAGACAATCTTCATTGCAAGATACCCATCCTCCTACTTTCCCTGCTGTACTATCTACCTCTTCCTCAGCGTGCAGCCTTGAGTATCTGCAGTAGTTAATTCATTGAAACCAGACTTTATGGCTTCTTTAAGGAAGAGCAATTTGTATAATTTAGTTAGCATACAGAAGATATGTTACTGGGATTTATGATATAAGCATATAAACAGTCCTTACTTTTGGAAAAAAAATTACCCAGTGTAAGAGATGGAGCTGTGCTGCACACTAATATTTTCACATATTTTTGTCTGTTGACATACCTCTAAAATAGGATTAAAATTAAATTAAGATAGAAAGCTCCAATACTGTTGAATTCTAAACAAAAAAGGAAGGTTGTATTTCTAGGGCTTAGAGTGCAATATGTGAATAGCAACCTATCATTATATTTCAGACAAAAGGAGTTCATGTTTCTAGAGAAAAAGTTTAGGAAAAAACATGAAACCTTTACATACATTAATTCTCCAGTACTGTGCCCCATCTCTATGGGCCTTTATTCCATCCTTATTGAGAAGGCTATTGGATAAATAACATATATAGAATTCACTTTGGAAGAATGCAGTTAGGTGAAATGAGAAAATAAACGTGTGAAAACCTCTACTCAGGAGAAGGGAGAAATTCAGCATGCATTTAGGCTGTGTAAGACCTCAAGGTGAAGGTGCATCACAAATTAGACAAAAGGTTGCAGTGATTTACGGAAGCAAAGACCAAAGTAAATACCCAGGCATTTTGTTATGACACAGAAAGGTCATCATTCCTTTCCCTGTTTATCGTCCAACACAATGAGGTCCTTATCATTACCAGGGTCCCCCAGCACTGTTCTGCTGCATATCGTAAAAAAATAATAATCACCCTTGGAATCCTGCATTCACTTCCACACACCTCATTAACAGAGAGATACAGACTACACAGACTGAGTTCAGAAAAAGCAAATAAATGAGCAGGATGCAGGAGGAATTTACCTGGGAAAAAGATTAAAAGCGTTAAAGATTCTGAAGTTGGCTGAGGAATGGCAGAGGAGGGGCATTCTACCAATGTTAGAAGGTTTGAATAGCAAGGAAGCAGAAGCAGTTGTAGCACTGGATGTGCTACGAGAAATAAAACTAGGCAGAAGAGGGTGTGTAATCAAGAATGGCATAATTTAGGCATAACACATAAGAAAAAAACTATGCTAGTCAGCAAGCAGAGCTGAGCTTGATATGTCAGGATGACACCAGACTCTGACTCCAGCCAGAGGCATGTCCTTGCCTATTGCCAGAAGGTGTGCTGTTGCCTAAAAGAAGTTAAATTTGTCTGTCATGCTGCAGCAGAACATGATGACTTTTGCTGGGTTTGGCTGAGATAGAGTTAATTTTCTTCACAGTAGCTAGTATGGGGCTATGGTTTGGATTTATGCTGAAAACAGCGTTGATAACACAGAGATGTTTTCATTATTGCTGAGCAGAGCTTACACAGAGCCAAGGTCTCTTCTGCCTCTCACACCACCCCACCAGCGAGTAGGCTGGGGGTGCACAAGGAGTTGGGAGGAGACACAGCTGGGACAGCTGACCCCAACTGACCAGAGGGATATTCCATACCATACAACGCCATGCTCAGTGTATAAAGCTGGGGGAAGAAGAAGGAAGGGAGGGACACACATTTGGAGTGGTGGCATTTGTCTTCCCAAGTAACTGTTACACATGATGGAGCCCTGCTTTCCTGGGGATGGCTGAACACCTGCCTGCCCATGGAAAGTGGTGAACGCAGTCCTTGTTTTGCTTTGCTTGCATGCGCAGCTTTTGCTTTACCTATTAAACTGTCTTTATCTCAACCCACGAGTTTTCTCACTTTGACTCTTCTGATTCTCTCCCCCATCCCACTGGGCAGGGAGTGAGTAAGGGGCTGTGTGGTCCTTACTTGCTGGCTGAGGTTAAACCACAACATGACTACAGTCCCCAAGCGAGCCTGCGGCCTCACCAGTCAATGCAAATAGCAACCTGCCATTGCCACATTACGTGACATGACCATGACACTGTCTCAGGCAAACCACACATTTTCAGCCCAATGTTTTCATTTTTAAAAAAATGTAGCTGAGGAAGAAGCAGAATTGCAGGCAAGGAAATGGAGAGTCAGAAGCCTGGGCAAAAACAATGGAGTGAGAGATACATGTATAACAGCCAGACTTGGAGTAACTCTTCACCAAATTAAGCATGTAAAAGTTTATTTTATGTACTCAATATGGCAAGGATGCTACATGTCACAAACTATCCTACATGAGTTACAAGCCAATACAGAAGAAAATAAGAATGCAGAGCAGACATTAATGATTGTTATTGTACAGTATCACATAGTCTCTCTAGGAACTGGTCAAGTTCACTGGAAATAAGTAAGACAGAAAGCATGACTTCAGAGGCTGTTCTAAAAATTCACTCTTTAGATGGTCAGAACCTTTCCCCTAAATCCCAGCCTAATTTTAATGATGTTCAGTTTAAATCATTTCCTTAGCTAACATAACCCAAGAGTTTAATTGGTTCCTTCCCTCTCCAGTATTTACTACTCCAATATGTTTACCAGTAAGATAATTATCAGCATAAATACAGCATAAATACTGCCCCATTTCTACAGGATGCTCCTTTATCTGATGTGTCCTAGGAGTCAACCTGCCTTTTACACAGTCGCACTGT